AGAGGAGAGGAGAGAGGAGAGAGAGAGGGGAGAGAGGAGAGGAGAGGGAGAAGAGGAGAGAGAGAGAGGAGAGGGAGAGGAGAGAGAGGGAGAGAGAGGGAGAGAGGAGAGAGAGGGGAGAGAGGAGAGAGAGGGAGAAGAGAGGAGAGAGGAGGGAGAGGAGGAGAGAGAGGAGAGAGAGAGAAGAGGAGGAGAGGAGAGGAGAAGAGAGGAGAGGAGAGAGAAGGAGAGAGAGGAGGAGAAGAGAGGAGAGAGGAGAGGAGAGAGAGGAGAGGAGAGAGAGAGGAGAGAGAGAGGAGAGAGAGGAGAAGAGGAGAGAGAGGAGAGAGAGGAGAGAGAGAGAGGAGAGAGGGAAGAGAGGGAGAGGAGGAGAGGAGAGAGAGAGAGGAGAGAGAGGAGAGAGAGGAGAGAGAGGAGAGAGAGAGGAGAGAGGAGAGGAGAGAGGAAGAGAGGAGGAGAGGAGAGAGGAGAGAGAGAGAGGAGAGAGAGGGAGAGAGAGAGAGGAGAGAGAGAGAGGAGAGAGGAGGAGAGAGAGGAGAGAGGGAGAGGAGAGAGAGGAGAGAGAGAGGAGAGAGGAGAGGAGAGAGAGGAGGAGAGAGAGGAGAGGAGAGGAGAGAGGAGAGGAGAGGGAGAGAGAAGAGAGATAGGAAGAGAAGAGGAGAAAGGGAGGCGGGAGGGAGAGACGGAGAGAGAGAGAGAGAGGAGAGAGAAGAGAGAGAGGGGAAGAAAGAGGGGAGTGAGAGGAGCAAGGAGAGAAGGGAGAGAGGGTGACAGAGGAGAGAGAGAAGACGATGAGGGAGAGAGGAGGGAGGCAGGAAAAAGGGAGAGTGGAGAGAAGGCGAGAGACGAAAAAGAGGAGAGGGGGACGGGGTGAAGAGGGGGGAGAAGAGAACGGGGCTGAGTGCGTTAGTGTGCTGGAAGTGGAGCTGTGTGAGAATGCAGATGGGAGAGGTGAAGTGAGTGGGAGAAAGAAGAGGAGAGGAGGAGGGGGTTAGAGTGTAGGGTGGAGGATAGAATAGGAGGTGCGAGGGGAGTTGAAGGAGAAGAGGGAGAGGATGTGGTGGTGAACGGATTGTGAGGTGAGTGGAGAGACCGAGAGGACCGTGTTAGAAGGAGATGCATGAGAAAGTGAATGTCATGAGATAAAGGGTAAGTGTTAGTGGAAGAAGAAGAGGACTCGTAGTAGATGTTGTGGGGTGGGCGAGTGAAGAGAGAGGTGATGATGTGTAGAAGAGACGGAATGATGGTGAGAGTATGAATGTAGATAGAGATATGGTCCCCAGTGAGTAGAAGGATGGGTATTGTTGTGAGTGTAAGATAGCTGTGACTTTGTGTGGTGCTTTGTGAGTGGACGGTGGTAGGGTTGTTTTGATGCTAGGTATGTTGTTTGGTGGCGCGTTGTGTGTGTGGTGGAAGAGGTAATGGTGGTGGAAAGAATGAGATAGTGAACACGAGGGTAGGGAAGGGTAGGGAGAAAGAAAATGAAGAAGGTTATGTGTAGGGTGGTAGGGTAGAAGAGAGATGTGGGGAGGGGAGGTGTAAGTGTGGGATGGGTAAGTAGGGTCTTGAGAGCGCCTCCCAGAGGCATTCGAGTTGTATTTCGAGTCTAATGTCCAATGAGCAATGGTTGTGTTGTGAGCGCGTCCTCATCCTGAGGAGCTGGAGCTCCACACAGGGGCCGGGCCGTCTCAGAGAAAAGCTTCAGGTTAGGAAAAAATTTTCTACCTTTACACGCCTCATCCCTTTAGTGTCCTCTCAAAAACTTCATAATGTCAGCAGCTGAACATGAATAACACTTTACTCAAACTGCGTGTGACTTAAACGGTTTCTCTGAGCTCTGAGAACTGCCCTCCCTTTCTCTTCTGAGGATATAGACACTGCTCCCCAACAGACACTCGCATACTAAATTCTCAGAGTCAACTGTCTCCAACACTGCTCAGCTCCTGAATCATGACGCCCCACACCTGCTCCTCTGGGTGAGTGAGGAGAGCTGTAGGGTCATATGACATGCCGTGGGGTCCTCCACATCGGGCCCCACAGCGGCTCCAACCGCGTGGACCACCGCGTGCCCCACAGCGGGCTCACACCGAGTGTATCCACCGCTGGCTCTGCAGACCCGGACCCGCTGTCTGGGTCCGTCAGGGGGTCCTCAGCAGCGCAGTTCCGCGGGGGATGCCGTTGGTGCCGGGGGCGCGTCCCCCGATGGCTCCGCTGCCTCCGCCTGGTCTCAGCGGAGGCTGCAAGGTGCTCCGGTGTCTGTGCTCATTACTGCGGCACATTCTGATCCATTCGTTCTGGGCACGCTCTGATCCAGGTGACCCTCTGCGCCGCAGCCAAAAACATTTCATGTCACAGATGAATGCAAAAATCACATACCTGAAATCCATCAACTTTAAAAGTGAAGGACAGGTTTAATCGGAGTTCTCCTTACAGCACATGCGCACCAGTCTGCGATGGTCCTACACCCCAATAGCACCTGTCCAGCGATGGTCCTTCACACCATATCACCTGTCGCATGGTCCTTCAGCACCATGAGCACCTGTCTGCGATGGACCTTCAGCACATGAGCACCTGTCTGCGATGGGTCCTTCCAGCTCCATGAGCCACCTGTCTGCGATGGTCCTTACAGCACCAGAGCACCTGTCTGCGATGGCACTCTACGTGTCTGAGCAGCGGTGAACTTACAGCCCAGTGACATCATTTAATCGGTATGTCACCAGCTGTCCGAACCGGGCCGTTCTGCAGCTTTGAAATAATTGAACAGTAAAATGATGATAATAAGGACTTAATAACACAATAAATTAATGTAATATTAGTTTATTATAATATTATAATAAATATATTATAATAATAATAAAATATTAATATATATTATAATAAATGTATAACTCTGACAAATGACATTCAGAGTTAGTTAAACACAAATATCTATCTTTTATTATTTAATTTTCCAAAGATAAACAATTGTAAAAACACAGAAATAAACCTTACATTTTACAAATGCAGAAGATTTAAATAATGACCAGTGATTAAAAAAACCACATCATTTGATAAATTTCTCTCTGACTTTACATTTTAAGCATCAACAGAAGAAATAAATGATATTATTTGCGTTTTTCCGTCACTATTTATTAAAAAATATTTCTGAACTAAAGCTGGCGTTTTGAAAAGAACAAGGATTATTTGTCCTTCATTAACCATAGATTTAAAACACACCTCAAAATGTAGTAAATAATAACAATTCATGACAATAGTTTCTAAATGTGTTTCTTGGATTCAAAAGCTGAACAGAAATTACTGCAAAATACAAAATGGAGAAATCTGGAACTGGATTCAATAATTGAAAGTCTGTTCGTCTTGAATGAAAAGCAACACATAAATATCTGTTTTCATTAATTGCACATAAACAGCCGTGCAGGCCGTGCGTAAAGCGCCGTGCGTAAAGCGCCGTGCGTAAAGCGTGCCATACCTTGCCCCATGTCCACAAAACTCGCGATGGTGTTGGCTGCTTTGGACGCGCGGAAGAAGCTCGCGTTCAGCCCCAGCTTCTCTGCGGTGGAGAAGGTTTTGTAGATGGACAACATGTAGTCGTGAGGCTCCACCAGGTCCGTGGCTTTGTTGCTCGATCCCGGAGGCGCGTAAAACTCCTTAAAATACTTGGACGCGTCGTGGCCGTCAAAGATATGCGCCACTTTGCTGGACTTTGGCGCAACTGCGGGAGGGAAGATGGACAGCGCTGTCACGCACAGAGCGTCCCGCAGAAGCAGCAGAGTCCCGCAGAGAAGCACCAGGTGCGACAGATCCATCCTCCGAGCGGCAGAAGTCTGCGTCCAGCCCCGGATCAAGTGGCAGAGTCTCCGCGAACAGGGACAGGAGGCGCAGAGTTAAAAAGCCCCCCGCGCAGCACACGCCCACCGCATTGTAGTCTCAACCCGACGGTTTCATGGCCTTCACAAATTAAGGCTGTAAAAGTAATTGTTCCCCTGTCAGCCTTCAGCGCAGACAGATGCGCAGTGAGATTGTGCGCAAACTATGAGGCGCTAATGAGGAGCATAAACATGTGACCTCGGACCATGCGCGCTCTGTCTGCGTTTAACGTGAACTACAAAAAGCAACAACAAAAACAGACTTTCCAAGTGTTAATAATTGTAACAGTGGGTGAAACTGTGGAGTATGGCGCCACCTGGTGGAGACCTGCGGCTGTTGCAGTTTAACGGGTTCAGAACATGGATCTATCATAGGTTCAGCACCACGGATAGGGCCTTTGCATCAGAATCAGAATCAGAATCAGAATCAGAATCATTTTTATTGCCACGTGAGTAACAAAGTTATCACTTGGAAATTGTCTTGGCAGAGAGCGTGCCACTTCGCCATTTGCGGCGCTGTGTGCAGCAAGAAACAGCAGAGAGCAATAACATTCAGGTAACAACAGACAGTTGGATAGAAAACATTGTGCTTTGTATAAACCACGGATTTTTTTCACGGGATGAGCACCTCCGGCCTGCCGGTCCAATGTGGCTGTCAGAGGGGGGCGGGGTCAGGGAGGGGGAGAGTCGGAAACACAGTAAGGAGGGGAGGGGAGGGAGAGATCAGAGGGAGGCGGGGGGAGCGGGATCCAAACTGGAAGACTGAAAGAGTGTGAAATTTTTGTAGAGACCAGATTTATTATGATGGCCTTGGCCCGAGGAATGTGAGATAAGAGAGGAGGGAAGACACAATAGGGAGAGAACACATCTCCTGTAACGAGGGACAATATTGTATGCAGTTTAGCAGTCAAAAACAGGCAGATATTCTATTAAATCCAATTAGACCAAATTACAGCGCCCTCAGACCCCGTACACAGGGGCAAATCCAAGCCGGGTCAGAGAGTTCAGGCCTGGCAGACAATGTCATTCAATCTCAATTCCAGAGTCTTATGACCATCAAGTGAACGAGCTGCGAGATCTTTGATCAACTGTTCCACTAACACCACTCTTCGTTGTCCAGCCACAGCGCTCTCAACCACGACTCGGTTAAGCTCCTTGTACATCCCATCAATTTTTTCGGCCAGCAGGTCGTGAATCTTGCGAACTGCCATGCCTCCGAATTTGTGGTAGAAGAGAACCGCTCCAAACCCAAACAGGAGGATTCCCACCACCAAAATGCCAAAGATATATACGTCTTCCGAATCTTCAATGGACAGGGTCGACAGACAGAGGGGCTGAAACTTGTTCCAGCTGTCAAGCGTATACCCCGCTGGTGAAGTCCCGTCCGGGCACACGGGCTCTCCAGACCCGCGCTTACGTGTTGAAAAGATAGAATCAATTGCGTTGAGGGACCAGTTAATCATTTCCATTCTGTTAAAGTTGTCTGTGGCAAAACTCCAGGAAAAAAAGACAAAAACAGGAGATAGCAAGCCGTTCAGAAGCAGGAGCGGACTAAGACACGTCCTTGCACGACGAAGGAGGAAGGAGGAAGAATTACACACATTAAAGCTGGGAACCATGTGGACATGGGACTATGTGACTAGAACAATAGTCATGGGACTGTGTGACTAGAACCATAGTCATGGGACTATGGGACTAGAACCATAGTCATAGTCATGGGACTAGAACCATAGTCATAGTCATGGGACTATGGGACTAGAACCATAGTCATAGACTATGTGACTAGAACCATAGTCACTGAAGAATATAATTTTCTTTTTGAAAATTGATACTTAATTGATCAATAAAGTGTGTGAGCTCAACGACTTTTACTGCCGCTTTGAATCTGCTGATCCCCTTTTGTCTTCCCTGAATGTCAGGTGCCTTCACAGTGACTCAGGAGGAAGTACGGCGGGTCTTGTCCAGGACCACAGCTCGGAAAGCCGCAGGCCCGGACTGCATTCCTCCCCGCGTTCTGAAACTGTGCTCCGAGCAACTTGCCCCTGTTTTAACGGACATCTTTAACTTGTCACTCAGGAGCTGTACGGTGCCGGTGAGCTTTAAAAGGTCCACCATTATTCCTGTTCCTAAGAAGTCTCCAGTGACATGTCTCAATGACTACCGCCCTGTGGCCCTCACGTCTGTTCTTATGAAGACTTTCGAGCGGCTTGTGTTGGACTTCATTAAGAGCCAGATCCCTGTGAGTGTTGACCCGCTCCAGTTTGCTACAGACAGAACAGGAGTGTGGAGGATGCATCTCCTTTGCTCTGAACTCTGTCTACAGTCACTTGGACACTAGTAAATCTGTGGCCAGAATGCTTTTCATCGATTATAGCTCTGCTTTTAACTGCCTTGTCCCAGGTAAACTGATTGAAAAGCTCATGTCTCTGGGTTTAAGTGTTGCCATGTGTAAATGGATTTTTATCTTTTTAACTGACAGATCTCAGAGAGTGTTTTTCTGATGTTGTTTCTGTGAGCACTGGTTCTCCTCAGGGATGTATTTTGAGTCCTTTGCTTTTTACTTTGTACACTCACGATTGTGTGTCCTCCTCTGACTCAAACTTGATCATTAAATATGCTGATGACACCACCATCATCGGTCTCATCAGTGACACTGATGAATCCTCTTATAGAGCAGAGATACAAAATGTGGTTCAGTGGAGTCAAACTAACAACCTCCAGTTGAACGCATCCAAAACATGTGAACTGGTCACGACTTCAGTCGCAATAGTTCTCATTTGTCTGTCGTAATCGACAACTCCCAGGTGCAGATCGTAGAGGAGCAAGTTTCTGGGTTTAACTCTGTCTAACCTGAAATGGGTTAAAAACACTGACCGAGTCGTTAAGAAAGCTCGTCAGCGTCTCTACTTTCTGCGTAAACTTAGAGAATTTACCACTAACTCTAAGATTGTGCTTAACTTTTATGGCTGCACCATTGAGAGTTTACTTGTTGGTTCTGTGTCTGTGTGGTTTGGAAACATCACAGATAAAGAAAAGAGAGCTTTAAACAAGGTGCTCCGCTCTGCAAAGAGGACCGTGGGCTGTGAGCTTCCTGTTCTGGAGGTTCTTTATAAATCCAGACTTTTAAACAAAGCTCTTAGGATTGTCAATGACTCTTCTGGCCACCCTGGGAAAGCCTTGTTCCAGCTTCTTCCCTCTGGCAGAAGATATCGCTCTCTGAGATGCAAGACATCTCGCTATGCTAACAGCTTCTTTCCACAGGCTGTTAGGTGCCTAAACAGAGCACTTTAATTCCTGCTTTTACCCCTTGTATCGTTTTGTTGATCGGTGCCACAGTGTCAGCTGTTTTTTTTATTATTTTATATTCAGTGTATGTGTATTTTATATTACATTGTATCGTGCTCTTTTTCTGTCGGTGCACACAGAGTACCTTTCTCTGCAAATGTATTCCAATGTGGTTTTTATACTGCACATGGCTAATAAAATGAATCTGAATCTGTAATAATCTGATCTGCCACCAGATGTCAGTGTTCTCACTAACATACTGCATTTATTTGATTGTGTAAATGTTTGCAGATTGTGATTTTCTGAAAGAAATTCATTATTAGTAATTGCAAAGTATCTGGTGTTTATTCTAGAGTATATTATGTATAGGTTTTATGACACAAACACAAAAGTCCAGAAACACCATCAAATAAACTTTATTTCAAATGCATTGTTCAAAGACAAATCCTTCATTTTGTTTTGTTTAAAATGATAAAATATTGCACTTTCCAGTCATAACTTCATAGAATGCACCGTGTTTGGCCGTACTTCGGTCAGTAAAGACTAGAGAAAATATTTCAATAACAGATAAAAAAATATAAAATCAGCCCAACGAACCTGATTAATAGAAAACAGTTGATATTGCACCTTCCAACACTGGACTCTTGACCCTATTGTTCAGTAAAAGGATGTTTTGTTTAAGAAATAAGTAAACTAGGACTTCCCGTTATGCTCCTCATGTTAAAGTTACCATTCGTTATGTTCTTAGAGCTAGCTTCCCTTATGTCATGCTAGTTGTAGTTTTATCACCACACTTTTGTAGTTCTAGTGTCAGAAGACCGTGGCGTGTTCGGAGCAGTAGGCCACGGCGTAGATGAGGCTGACGGCGCAGAGACTGGAGGAGCTCGGGGTAGAGCCGGAGCTGAAGATGGATCCGTCTGTGGTGGTCCCGTCGGTGGTCCCTGAAGATGAAGAGGACAAAGGTACAACATGAACAAAACAAAGATTCACATTATACTGTTTGTCCACTGTCTATGGTCACAGCACTGCTCCCTCCACGGTGATACAAACATGTAGCTCCGCCCCTCCACGGTGATACAAACATGTAGCTCCGCCCCTCCACGGTGATACAAACATGTAGCTCCGCCCCTTCTCTCAAAGTTCCTGTCTCAGTAATAGTATGATGTCATTGATTCACTTCCTTTTCTCCATGGATCTATAATAATAACTGGACAGAGTATTAGTAGCTTACAGCTGTCCCACTCATGGACACAGGGGGCGCTGTGGTACTGCAGACTAAATTCATGTGGGCTACCCAGAAAAAAGTCCCATAGAACTCAATGTAAATTAAAACAACTCAACCTCAGCTGACAGAGAACCTGACAGAGAACCTGACAGAGAACCTGACAGAGAACCTACAGCTTTCATAAAGATTGTATTTTGTGGGATTTTAGTGTCCCTTGTCGTCCTGAACTTTTCTTCTTCTTAAATCCTTCTGTTTTCTTTAAATCCACACTTTAGTGCCACAAACTCTGCTCCTTTCCTTCCCGCTCTGACTCAGCTCTGATGAGCAGCTCTGATTGGTCAGAGCGCGGCCGAGCCTCTCTGTGCACGTGCATGAAAGCCACACACGTGTATTTGGCACAAAGCATCATGGGAGATAATCCACTGCACAGAACCAGGAGGACCAGATGATGCCCAAATATGAGCGAGTTCCTCTGATACGTCAGCGCCTGTGAAGTCCCATGCGCTACTGAGCACAACCAATTCATTCATTCACCCGGTGAGCTCTGTCTCGGTGAGCTCTGTCGAGGTGAGCTCTGTCGCGGTGAGCTTTGTCGCGGTGAGCTCTGTCTCGGTGAGCTCTGTCGTGGTGAGCTCTGTCGGTGAGCTCTGTCGTGGTGAGCTCTGTCGGTGAGCTGTCTCGGTGAGCTCTGTCGCGGTGAGCTCTGTCTCGGTGAGCTCTGTCGTGGTGAGCTCTGTCGTGGTGAGCTCTGTCTCGGTGAGCTCTGTCGTGGTGAGCTCTGTCGGTGAGCTCTGTCTCGGTGAGCTCTGTCTCGGTGAGCTCTGTCTCTGTGAGCTCTGTCGTGGTGAGCTCTGTCGGTGAGCTCTGTCGTGGTGAGCTCTGTCGGTGAGCTCTGTCGTGGTGAGCTCTGTCGGTGAGCTGTCTCGGTGAGCTCTGTCTCGGTGAGCTCTGTCTCGGTGAGCTCTGTCTCTGTGAGCTCTGTCTCGGTGAGTGGACTATAATCTAATATCTAACTCTATATGTCTCCAAAAGTAGTTTTAAGCACTGATGTATCATGTTTTAGTTTGGCTTTGTTGCGTCCAGCGCCCTCCAGTGTATTGTAGAGGAATTGTGTACGTTTATAAATACAAAAAAAAAAAGACCGTTCTCTTTGGTAAAAACTTACACTATTAAAAAGGTAAACAAATATCCACAGGTCAGTTTGGGATAATGGACTTAAAGTTAGTGACAAGTATGATCCAGTCACCGCAAAACACGGAGACAGGAAGTGATAAAATGTATGTCATAATAATAGACAAAAAAATTCCACTCCTCCCTCTGGTGGCAGCATCGGGAGTTACAGGCAGAAAGCATGTTTTTACCCTTCATACTTGTTTCATAAATGTTCTTCTGAAGATATTATTTGACTTTCTAAAACATGTAGTGAAAAGTCAAAAGTCTGATCATAATTATTGTGTCTAAAATAATGCATCATATTTCATTTTTCAGAAATAGCCACAGTCTTTAGTGTCTGCACCTGTCGAGGGAGTCCCAGAGTCCGTGGGCCCAGAGTCCGTGGTCCCGATCTTCCTGTAGATGTGAGTACAAGGCCTCCTCTCTGACATGTTTAAAACCAGGTTAAAAAATCGGTTCTGTTTAGCTGTGCATACAACTGGAGGGATTTTATATTTTTATCATCCTTGTTAATGTTCTGTGATTATTTTTGGTTTAGCACTTTGAGGTTGCCTCTGTGTATGAATTGTGCTATACAATCTAAACTTGCCTTGCCTTTCCTTGCCTTAAATAAGACGATGTGAGTACCAACCAGTTTAAAATGATGTCAAGTCTTTGTCTTTGTTGAACAAGATAACCTATAAAAGGCTTTTTTTTTACATGCTCTGGAAGTCGGCCACCATGTCCCTGGCTAGGAGATCTTTGAGGATCCATCCAGCCGACCTTGTACGTGTGTTTCCGTACTCCATGTCATTCCTGAGGACATTGGAGTAGTGCTGTGTTCTTTGGGGTTGTGTGTTGGGGACAGTCTGTAGCTAGTGCCGTGTTCTTTGGGGTTGTGTGTTGGGGACAGTCTGTAGCTAGTGTCGTGTTCTTCAGGGTTGTGTGTTGGGAGCAGTCTGTAGCTAGTGTCGTGTTCTTCAGGGTTGTGTGTTGGGAGCAGTCTGTAGCTAGTGTCGTGTTCTTTGGGGTTGTGTGTTGGGGCAGTCTGTAGCTAGTGTCGTGTTCTTCAGGGTTGTGTGTTGGGGGCAGTCTGTAGCTAGTGCCGTGTTCTTCAGGGTTGTGTGTTGGGAGCAGTCTGTAGCTAGTGTCGTGTTCTTTGGGGTTGTGTGTTGGGACAGTCTGTAGCTAGTGCTGTGTTCTTTGGGGTTGTGTGTTGGGGGCAGTCTGTAGCTAGTGCCGTGTTCTTTGGGGTTGTGTGTTGGGGGCAGTCTGTAGCTAGTGCCGTGTTCTTTGGGGTTGTGTGTTGAGGACAGTCTGTAGCTAGTGCTGTGTTCTTTGGGGTTGTGTGTTGGGACAGTCTGTAGCTAGTGCTGTGTTCTTTGGGGTTGTGTGTTGGGGGCAGTCTGTAGCTAGTGCCGTGTTCTTCAGGGTTGTGTGTTGGGACAGTCTGTAGCTAGTGCTGTGTTCTTCAGGGTTGTGTGTTGAGGACAGTCTGTAGCTAGTGCCGTGTTCTTCAGGGTTGTGTGTTGGGGGCAGTCTGTAGCTAGTGCTGTGTTCTTTGGGGTTGTGTGTTGGGGGCAGTCTGTAGCTAGTGTCGTGTTCTTCAGGGTTGTGTGTTGAGGACAGTCTGTAGCTAGTGCCGTGTTCTTCAGGGTTGTGTGTTGGGGACAGTCTGTAGCTAGTGTTGTGTTCTTCAGGGTTGCGTGTTGGGGACAGTCTGTAGCTAGTGCTGTGTTCTTTGGGGTTGTGTGTTGGGACAGTCTGTAGCTAGTGCCGTGTTCTTCAGGGTTGTGTGTTGAGGACAGTCTGTAGCTAGTGCCGTGTTCTTCAGGGTTGTGTGTTGGGGGCAGTCTGTAGCTAGTGCTGTGTTCTTTGGGGTTGTGTGTTGGGGGCAGTCTGTAGCTAGTGCTGTGTTCTTTGGGGTTGTGTGTTGGGACAGTCTGTAGCTAGTGCCGTGTTCTTCAGGGTTGTGTGTTGGGGACAGTCTGTAGCTAGTGCTGTGTTCTTTGGGGTTGTGTGTTGGGGGCAGTCTGTAGCTAGTGCCGTGTTCTTCAGGGTTGTGTGTTGGGTCAGTCTGTAGCTAGTGCTGTGTTCTTTGGGGTTGTGTGTTGAGGACAGTCTGTAGCTAGTGCTGTGTTCTTTGGGGTTGTGTGTTGGGGGCAGTCTGTAGCTAGTGCCGTGTTCTTCAGGGTTGTGTGTTGGGGGCAGTCTGTAGCTAGTGCTGTGTTCTTTGGGGTTGTGTGTTGAGGACAGTCTGTAGCTAGTGCTGTGTTCTTTGGGGTTGTGTGTTGGGGGCAGTCTGTAGCTAGTGCTGTGTTCTTTGGGGTTGTGTGTTGAGGACAGTCTGTAGCTAGTGCCGTGTTCTTCAGGGTTGTGTGTTGGGGCAGTCTGTAGCTAGTGCTGTGTTCTTTGGGGTTGTGTGTTGGGGGCAGTCTGTAGCTAGTGCCGTGTTCTTCAGGGTTGTGTGTTGGGTCAGTCTGTAGCTAGTGCCGTGTTCTTCAGGGTTGTGTGTTGGGACAGTCTGTAGCTAGTGCTGTGTTCTTTGGGGTTGTGTGTTGGGACAGTCTGTAGCTAGTGCCGTGTTCTTCAGGGTTGTGTGTTGGGGGCAGTCTGTAGCTAGTGCTGTGTTCTTTGGGGTTGTGTGTTGGGACAGTCTGTAGCTAGTGCTGTGTTCTTCAGGGTTGTGTGTTGGGGACAGTCTGTAGCTAGTGCCGTGTTCTTCAGGGTTGTGTGTTGGGGACAGTCTGTAGCTAGTGCTGTGTTCTTTGGGGTTGTGTGTTGGGACAGTCTGTAGCTAGTGCTGTGTTCTTCAGGGTTGTGTGTTGGGGACAGTCTGTAGCTAGTGCCGTGTTCTTCAGGGTTGTGTGTTGGGGACAGTCTGTAGCTAGTGCTGTGTTCTTTGGGGTTGTGTGTTGGGACAGTCTGTAGCTAGTGCTGTGTTCTTCAGGGTTGTGTGTTGGGGACAGTCTGTAGCTAGTGCTGTGTTCTTCAGAGTTGTGTGTTGGGGACAGTCTGTAGCTAGTGCTGTGTTCTTTGGGGTTGTGTGTTGGGGACAGTCTGTAGCTAGTGCCGTGTTCTTTGGGGTTGTGTGTTGAGGACAGTCTGTAGCTAGTGCCGTGTTCTTCAGGGTTGTGTGTTGAGGACAGTCTGTAGCTAGTGCTGTGTTCTTCAGGGTTGTGTGTTGGGGACAGTCTGTAGCTAGTGCTGTGTTCTTCAGAGTTGTGTGTTGAGGACAGTCTGTAGCTAGTGCTGTGTTCTTTGGGGTTGTGTGTTTGGGGCAGTCTGTAGCTAGTGCTGTGTTCTTTGGGGTTGTGTGTTGGGGGCAGTCTGTAGCTAGTGCTGTGTTCTTTGGGGTTGTGTGTTGGGGACAGTCTGTAGCTAGTGCCGTGTTCTTTGGGGTTGTGTGTTGGGGACAGTCTGTAGCTAGTGCTGTGTTCTTCAGGGTTGTGTGTTGAGGACAGTCTGTAGCTAGTGCTGTGTTCTTCAGGGTTGTGTGTTGAGGACAGTCTGTAGCTAGTGCTGTGTTCTTCAGGGTTGTGTGTTGGGGGCAGTCTGTAGCTAGTGCTGTGTTCTTTGGGGTTGTGTGTTGGGGACAGTCTGTAGCTAGTGCCGTGTTCTTTGGGGTTGTGTGTTGGAGGCAGTCTGTAGCTAGTGCCGTGTTCTTTGGGGTTGTGTGTTGGGGTCAGTCTGTAGCTAGTGCCGTGTTCTTTGGGGTTGTGTGTTGAGGTCAGTCTGTAGCTAGTGTCGTGTTCTTTGGGGTTGTGTGTTGGGGTCAGTCTGTAGCTAGTGCCGTGTTCTTTGGGGTTGTGTGTTGGGGGCAGTCTGTAGCTAGTGCCGTGTTCTTTGGGGTTGTGTGTTGGGGGCAGTCTGTAGCTAGTGCCGTGTTCTTTGGGGTTGTGTGTTGAGGTCAGTCTGTAGCTAGTGCCGTGTTCTTTGGGGTTGTGTGTTGGGGGCAGTCTGTAGCTAGTGCCGTGTTCTTTGGGGTTGTGTGTTGGGGGCAGTCTGTAGCTAGTGTCGTGTTCTTCAGGGTTGTGTGTTGGGGGCAGTCTGTAGCTAGTGCTGTGTTCTTCAGGGTTGTGTGTTGAGGACAGTCTGTAGCTAGTGCTGTGTTCTTCAGAGTTGTGTGTTGAGGACAGTCTGTAGCTAGTGCTGTGTTCTTCAGAGTTGTGTGTTGAGGACAGTCTGTAGCTAGTGCTGTGTTCTTCAGGGTTGTGTGTTGGGGGCAGTCTGTAGCTAGTGCTGTGTTCTTTGGGGTTGTGTGTTGGGGACAGTCTGTAGCTAGTGCTGTGTTCTTCAGGGTTGTGTGTTGGGGACAGTCTGTAGCTAGTGCTGTGTTCTTTGGGGTTGTGTGTTGGGGACAGTCTGTAGCTAGTGCCGTGTTCTTTGGGGTTGTGTGTTGGGGGCAGTCTGTAGCTAGTGCTGTGTTCTTTGGGGTTGTGTGTTGAGGACAGTCTGTAGCTAGTGCCGTGTTCTTTGGGGTTGTGTGTTGAGGACAGTCTGTAGCTAGTGCCGTGTTCTTTGGGGTTGTGTGTTGAGGACAGTCTGTAGCTAGTGCCGTGTTCTTTGGGGTTGTGTGTTGGGGGCAGTCTGTAGCTAGTGCTGTGTTCTTTGGGGTTGTGTGTTGAGGACAGTCTGTAGCTAGTGCTGTGTTCTTTGGGGTTGCGTGTTTGGGTCAGTCTGTAGCTAGTGCTGTGTTCTTTGGGGTTGTGTGTTGAGGGCAGTCTGTAGCTAGTGCTGTGTTCTTTGGGGTTGTGTGTTGAGGACAGTCTGTAGCTAGTGCCGTGTTCTTTGGGGTTGTGTGTTGGGGGCAGTCTGTAGCTAGTGCTGTGTTCTTTGGGGTTGTGTGTTGAGGACAGTCTGTAGCTAGTGCTGTGTTCTTTGGGGTTGCGTGTTTGGGTCAGTCTGATCTCAGAGACAGTAATCGGCTCAGGCTGATCAGGAAGTGTGTCTCTGTGATGGGGAGAAGTGTGTCTCTGTGATGGGGAGAAGTGTGTCTCTGTGATGGGGAGAAGTGTGGACTCTGTGGGAGCTGTGCTGGAGAAAAGGATGAGGGCTCTAATGCAGTGCATGCTGGGTAACTCCAGACACCCTCTGTACGACACTATGGCCGCTCAGAGGAGTCATCGCAGCAACAGGCTCCTATCACTACGCTGCCGACTGGAACCTTTCAAGAGATCCTTCGGCTGTCAGACTGTACAACAAACCTGTCTATCTGTCTATCTATCTTGTTTACACTCACCCTTAGTATCTGTGGCGCCGGGAGGCGGTTGTCGTGGTTTTGTATGCTCCTTCGTCTCCATGGTGACGGCGGTTACCGTAGTCTGGACGCGTGCCGGTGTCTGGGAGCGTTTGGGGCGGAGCTTAGACCCAGACGGGGGGGCCTTCTTCGAGGACGAGGATTGGACGAGAGGAGAGAGGGGGCGGGACTTAGGTGGCGCAGGAGACGGAAGCCGATATTTGGGTTTAGAACTGAATAAGAAACACATGTTTAAAGCTCAGGTCTGTAACTTAAAGGAGCAGTATGTAAAAGTCTGGCCAGAAGTGGTCACAGTTTTGATGTCCTCTCCCACTCTCTACGTTCTAATGTTGATTGAATGTTTTGAATGAATGTTTTATTATTATTATTTGGACATTTGAGATGAGAAAAACAAAATAAAAGCAATTTAATTATACAATGATTATGCAAAATAAATAAGCGATGTCCAAAATAGGAGTGGGAAGAATGGATGTTGGAACATATTTCTTCAGCGTATCAACATCAGGGTTTGCTCCAGAGGACATCACCCTGTTAGTATTAGTGTTAGTATTAGTGTTAGTATTAGTGTTAGTATTAGTGTTAGTATTAGTGTTAGTATTAGTGTTAGTATTAGTGTTAGTATTAGTGTTAGTATTAGTGTTAGTATTAGTGTTAGTATTAGTGTTAGTATTAGTGTTAGTATTAGTGTTAGTATTAGTGTTAGTATTAGTGTTAGTATTAGTGTTAGTATTAGTGTTAGTATTAGTGTTAGTATTAGTGTTAGTATTAGTGTTAGTATTAGTGTTAGTATTAGTGTTAGTATTAGTGTTAGTATTAGTGTTAGTATTAGTGTTAGTATTAGTGTTAGTATTAGTGTTAGTATTAGTGTTAGTATTAGTGTTAGTATTAGTGTTAGTATTAGTGTTAGTATTAGTGTTAGTATTAGTGTTAGTATTAGATAGCAATATGGCCTACGTGCAGGACTGTACAAGGACTCTGATTATTTTGACTCTGATGTGACTGTCTCTGTGTGACACGTCTTTCCATGTGTGACGTGACAATGACTATATAAACTGTGTACTGACTTTAACAATGACTATATAAACTGTGTACTGACTTTAACAATGACTATATAAACTGTGTACTGACTTTAACAATGACTATATAAACTGTGTACTGACTTTAACAATGACTATATAAACTGTGTACTGACTTTAACAATGACTATATAAACTGTACTGACTTTAACAATGACTATATAAACTGTGTACTGACTTTAACAATGACTATATAAACTGTGTACTGACTTTAACAATGACTATATAAACTGTGTACTGACTTTAACAATGACTATATAAACTGTGTACTGACTTTAACAATGACTATATAAACTGTGTACTGACTTTAACAATGACTATATAAACTGTGTACTGCCTTTAACAATGACTATATAAACTGTGTACTGCCTTTAACAATGACTATATAAACTGTGTACTGACTTTAACAATGACTATATAAACTGTACTGACTTTAACAATGACTATATAAACTGTACTGCCTTTAACAATGACTATATAAACTGTGTACTGACTTTAACAATGACTATATAAACTGTGTACTGACTTTAACAATGACTATATAAACTGTGTACTGACTTTAACAATGACTATATAAACTGTGTACTGACTTTAACAATGACTATATAAACTGTGTACTGCCTTTAACAATGACTATATAAACTGTGTACTGCCTTTAACAATGACTATATAAACTGTGTACTGACTTTAACAATGACTATATAAACTGTGTACTGCCTTTAACAATGACTATATAAACTGTGTACTGCCTTTAACAATGACTATATAAACTGTGTACTGCCTTTAACAATGACTATATAAACTGTGTACTGACTTTAACAATGACTATATAAACTGTGTACTGACTTTAACAATGACTATATAAACTGTGTACTGACTTTAACAATGACTATATAAACTGTGTACTGACTTTAACAATGACTATATAAACTGTGTACTGACTTTAACAATGACTATATAAACTGTGTACTGACTTTAACAATGACTATATAAACTGTGTACTGACTTTAACAATGACTATATAAACTGTGTACTGACTTTAACAATGACTATATAAACTGTGTACTGACTTTAACAATGACTATATAAACTGTGTACTGACTTTAACAATGACTATATAAACTGTGTACTGCCTTTATTCTGTCTGAGAGAAGGAAACAATGGAAACCACTGGAACTTGAGAGAAACTTAAAGAGCGACTAAACACCTGTGCCCAGCCTGACTCCGCCCACATGAACAGCCTGACTCCGCCCACATGAAGATTTGAAAATGTTCTCTAAAAAGGGCGTTGCCTGGAGGACTAAGGGACAAGAAGGGGGGCTTAGAGTTGGGCGTGGTCTGGGCTGTGATTGACAGCTCACTTGTCACACACAAAAAAAACAGACAGTTGTTATTGCTGCTTAAAGCAATAGTTTACACCAGAAAGTCTCATTCCACCCTTGTTTACACACTTAGATAATTGTAAATCTACACACCTGAACCTAATCACACTCAATAATCTCAGAATGACTCATGTAATTTAATTTTAATCCACTAGATGGCGCCAGAATACTCAACTGCAGCTGGGGCGTGTGTGAGAGTTGAATGGGTTCATATCACTGGCTCTGACAGACTGACGTCACACAAAACAACTGATGTCATAGAGAACTTCAGAGCCAATGGAGAGGCCAGGACCAAATTCAAATGTAGTACCACCAAAAAGGTGGAGAGGGCGCCACACAGACGTTTTTTGGCTGAAAAGTGATATTTTATCTAATTTGAACTAAAATGTCAAAAGAATGACCAGGATATGTAGACAGCACTAAAATAAACATACTTATGCAGTTTATGAGTTTGAAAAATGATTTGGTGTTTAGTCGCTCTTTAAATAAACTTCCAGAGTTTGGCGCAGCACGATCCGTCTCTGTCTGCTTCATCCCTGACAACCCTTACATTTTATTTATTCCCTATTTTTTAGACATGCATACATGCATCAAGAGTTCCGAGCTTCCTGCTCGACCGCACGACATTGTGGTTAGTTTTCTCAAAAAAGTGGGCATTAAACCACGCTGCCATGTTGGATTACATGTTATGAAAGTGAACTTTCTCGCTTGTTTCCAGCCCATAGATTGTTTTAATCGTTTAAAAAATCACCAATTTCAGACATTTTGAAGGTAAGGTAAAGATTTTTTCATTTAACAGAAAAAGCAATGCATTTTTTTCTTGTGGTTTTAGATGTAAACACAACCGACCGACGATAGAGCTACATGTAGCTTATGCTACTTACGAGGAGGCCTCAAATCCATGTCAGGCTTCAAAACACCCCCCAGTCAGTCCACAGGAGACCAGCTGTGGCCTTCAGCTGTGGCCCCCTCCCCCTGCCCCCTCCCCCTGCACAGACGCTCCCCCTCACTCCAGCAGCGGAACAAAGGGCAACACCTACGATCGTTCACACCTCTGTCATGCCACCACAGTCTTCCTCCCACGGCCCCCCCAGCCCTCCCAGAGACACTCCCCCCCCCCCACCACTGAGCCCCCGTCCTCCCTACTCAGCACCCACTCCACCCAGCCCCCCTGCACCCCCCTGTCATTCACCGCTGCTCAGGTGAGGACAGAGATGAGGAGGATAAAGACCAGAAAGGCACCAGGAACAGATAACATCAGCTCCAGGCTCCTTCACTCCTGTGCAGACGAACTCTGTGGAGTGATGGAGCGCGTCTTCAACCTGAGCCTCAAGCTGAGGGCGGTACCACAGCTCTGGAAGACCTCCTGTGTGGTACCGGTGCCCAAGAAACCACGGGCCAAAGACCTCAGCGACTTCAGGCCAGTGGCTCTAACATCCCACTGCATGAAGACACTGGAGAGACCGGTCCTGGGACATCTCCGCTCCACTCTGAGCCCAGCGATGGACCCGCTGCAGTTCGCCTACAGGCCGGGCATCGGAGTCGAGGACGCCATCATCTCCCTCCTCCATCGCTCCCTGTCCCACCTGGAGAAACCCGGCTCCACTTCTTCGACTTCTCCAGCGCCTTCAACACCATCCAGCCGCGGCTTCTCAGGGACAAGCTGGAGACAGCTGGTGTGGACTACAACCTGTCCCAGTGGATCCTGGACTACCTCAAGGACAGACCCCAGTTTGTGAGAACCAGGGACTTTGTGTCTGAGGTCCTGACCTGCAGTGTAGGGGCCCCCCAGGGAACTGTCCTCGCACCGTTCCTCTTCACCCTCTACACTGCGGACTTCAGACACAACACGGACGGTTGTGTTCTACAGAAGTTCTCTGACGACTCTGCCATCATCGGACTCAGCTCCGAGGACGATGACACAGAGTACAGAGGAGTTATACAGAACTTTGTGGACTGGCGTCAGCGGAACCACCTCCTCATCAACGTGAGGAAGACCAAGGAGATGGACCACCTCCTCATCAACGTGAGGAAGACCAAGGAGATGAACCACCTCCTCATCAACGTGAGGAAGACCAAGGAGATGAACCACCTCCTCATCAACGTGAGGAAGACCAAGGAGATGAACCACCTCCTCATCAACGTGAGGAAGACCAAGGAGATGAACCACCTCCTCATCAACGCGAGGAAGACCAAGGAGATGAACCACCTCCTCATCAACGCAGGGAAGACCAAGGAGATGAACCACCTCCTCATCAACACGGGGAAGACCAAGGAGATGAACCACCTCCTCATCAACGTGAGGAAGACCAAGGAGATGAACCACCTCCTCATCAACGCGAGGAAGACCAAGGAGATGAACCACCTCCTCATCAACGTGAGGAAGACCAAGGAGATGGACCACCTCCTCATCAACGCGGGGAAGACCAAGGAGATGGACCACCTCCTCATCAACGCGGGGAAGACCAAGGAGATGAACCACCTCCTCATCCACGTGAGGAAGACCAAGGAGATGAACCACCTCCTCATCAACGCGGGGAAGACCAAGGAGATGAACCACCTCCTCATCAACGCGGGGAAGACCAAGGAGATGAACCACCTCCTCATCAACGTGAGGAAGACCAAGGAGATGAACCACCTCCTCATCAACGTGAGGAAGACCAAGGAGATGAACCACCTCCTCATCAACGTGAGGAAGACCAAGGAGATGAACCACCTCCTCATCAACGTGAGGAAGACCAAGGAGATGAACCA